TCATAATTTTTTTTTTGTTACATATGAAGAAAAATTGAAGCAACACCTAACATGTGCTTTTCTAAAAAGGCATTTAGGCTAGGTGGAGGAGAAGCAAAAAAATTTTTAAAATACACCTAAAGGCACGTTTTCAAAAAAATTTGTTTAAAATACCCTTAATTTCTCATATTCATTAGTACTAATATTTTAATATTTTTATAAAGATTTTTTAATTTATATCTTAAAAATACATGTTAAAATACATTATTTATATTATTTTGTAATAAATTTTTATAAAAAAATGTGAAAGTAAGATATTATGTTTAACACTAATACCACTTTAATAATATTAATTAGATAGTTGATAAATTCAAAATTAAATTTTATTTTTTTATATAAATTAATTAAAAATATAATTAATACTTTTTAATATATATCATAAGGGTACAAGTTGGATCCTTCTTGTAAATAGTTTTTTATTTTATCTTACACATAGATTAAAAATGTATTTATTATAATTTTATAATTAATTTACATAAAAATATAAATATTTACTTAATTTATTCAATTGATTCATGAAAACTATCCCAACCTTAAAATAAAGATTGACTTTAGTAATTTTTTATATAAATTAATTATAAAAAATGCTTTAACTATATTTTTAACACATGCCACGGACTCTTTTATAAATTGAACTTCACAAAATTTCAAACCTTGGAAACTTTTCAAAATCACAGTTGAGTCACTCAACTAAAAATATACAAGCTCAAGACAACTTTAAGCCTTTAATTGTTGTATTTTTATCTTGCACAATTATAGAAAAATCTAATTCAATACCTAAACAAGATTAGTGCTTGAAATCTCATAGTTGACTTTAATAAAACTCAATTCAATACCCATTAACATTTTTATAACATTTTTAATAGCGATAAATTGAAATAATAGTATTTAATATATTTTTAAAATAGAAAGTGTGATAACTAATTTTAGTCACTCGTATTTGATATTCTTTCCATATTTTTTAGTAGATTTAATTTTTTTGTTCAATAAAATAGAAATGTTATAATTTATTAATAAAATTTCATATTTATTTTAATCAAATATCACTTAAGTAAAAGTTTTTATTTAATATATATTGTAATTATTTTTTAAAAAATAAAAAGAAATACATTGAATGGTATTTTAAAAAAAAACAACTAAATTTGAAACGTTCTAAATAAAAAATTAAGTCAACTAAAATGAAATAAAGAAAGTAATTAAAGTTGAACTAAGATGGTAGTAAAAAAAAGCCTATGAAAATGAAGGACTTATCTCTTTTTAAGCCGAGGCGCTAGCTAATGATTTGTGATAAAATTCGAGTGCTGAAAAAGAATATTATTCCATTCATATAAAATTGTAACTGTGCCTATTAGCCAGTTCTAGCCTTGGCCAGGTCATAACCTAAA